CTGTCTGACTGACTGTTAGGAGACTGTCTGAGAGACTGTCTTTGCTGCTTTTTTATTGAGTTTTGTTGTGTTAAATATAATTAATTTATAATAAATTCAGTTTTCAGTCTTGAGTGGTAGCAGCCATGTTTAATGTGTTGTATGTGGCTTCATGACCTCTACATGGAGTCCTTTTTACAACCAGAATTAAACATGTAGCAAACACCCAAATAAATGACTTGATCAGTCAGGAAACGCATTGTTATTACTGAAGCCGAGAGCAGAGGTTTTCTGCATGTAACTTTTACCCCACTGTTTTATCGCGATATCACGTAATAAAAATGACCGGTTTTCTCAAGAAGAGTTAATTTCCTGATTTTTTTTTCAATATAATGAGGTAATTTCCGATGGTTTTCTCGAGATAATGAGTTAATTTTCCAAGTTTTCTTGAGATAAGTTAATTTACTGATGCATTTTTCAATAATAATGAGGTAATTTCCTAATGGTTTTCTCAAGATAACGATTTAATTTCCTGATGGTTTTCTCAAGATAAGTTGATTTCCCAATGGTTTTCTCAAGATAACAAGTTGATTTCCCAATGGTTTTCTCAAGATAACAAGTTGATTTCCCRATGGTTTTCTCGAGATAACGAGTTAATTTCCAATAGTTTTCCTCTCATGCATCATTTGGTAACCATGAAGATGCCTGGTCCTTTTAGCTGGTCACTGATAAAGTTTATTATATCAACAGGATCACTAATCACGAGTGCTGATATGAAAGTTATCTGTACAAGACAAACAAACTACAACACTGCCTGTGTTATGAATAAACTTCATCAGTGACAAGCAGAGGGGAACAGGACATATCAATGGTTACTGAATGATGCACAAGAGGAAAACCATAATTAACTAATTATCTTGAGAAAACGCTCATTGTTATTTTGTGATAACGACGTTGTTATCACGGTAAAACCATGGATAAAAATTCTATGTGGAAAACGTCCGCTCTTGGCTTCCATAAGTTATAATGTCTGAATACATAAAAACTGAAATATCTGTTCTCGGCTGCTGTAATATTGTATTGTAATAGTTGAATTAATTATAAACCACAGCAGTTAGACTGCTCAGGACATGTTTGAGTTAAATGTGACATTGTTCTGAGATATGAGCTCTGACTTCAGAGGTAAAGGAAACACAGCAGCTGGTTCAAAAACAGGCCAAAACAGAGAGAAGCCATTTTAAAATAACGTCTCATTTTTATAGCAGTTTTATATTTACACAGTTATTTGTACAGAACTATTTGGCTATAAGCAGGTACAAAGTGTACAAGAACAGCTAGCTGAGCTAGCTGTAGCACCAGCATTGGTTTCCTATTGGAACAACTGCTGGCTTTAGCTGCAGTGAGAAGTTTATGTTTCCAACAGTGAACCCAGCACATTCTGAGTGAAAGTAGACCGCATGATGTCACTAACCCATCAGGTCTCAGCCAGTTTAAACCAGTCCAATATGAAGACTGCAAAAGACAGAACCTTGAACTCCAGCTGATCCCATGGTTCCAACAGTAAATGTAAAAATGCATCTAGAACAGTCAGGAGGCTCCATGGCGGGAAACAGTTTGGGTGCTGGCTGTGGCCAGCAGGGCCTCTTTCACAAAGAGACACAATGGGGTGTTGTCCTGCTGGTTTGTCACTGAACCCAACATGGCATTCAGAGACTGCTACCAGATCAACCTTGACTGATGAAAATGTCTTTCCTTTGTCCATTGGTTCAGCAGGAACAAGAGAAAAACAAACAGGTCTGATACTAGGCCTAACTGAAGGTGGCTCAGAGCTTTCAATGAATAAAACATTAGTAGAACAGTCCAGAGAGCTCAGGGCTGGTCCCTGCAGGACCCCCATCAACGTGTCCTGATCCCTGTCATAACCATAATCAGTTTGTCACTCTGAATGAGAAACATGGGCTGTTTCCCCTGGTTTACTCAGGCTACATTGGTCATTATGCAATGGTGCAAATAGCATAATGTGATCTGGCCGGCTATCCATCCATCCATCCATCCATCCATCCATCCATCCATCCATCCATCCTCTGTCCATCATCCATCCATCATCCATCCATCCATTTTCTTTACCGGTTTTTCCTTTACAGGTCATGGAGTTCACTGGTACCCATATTCAGAAAGAAAGAAAGAAAGAAAGAAAGAAAGAAAGAAAGAAAGAAAGAAAGAAAGAAAGAAAGAAAGAAAGAAAGAAAGAAAGAAAGAAAGAGCAGTTTGCCATGGACTGCACACTGCTGCCCTCTTGTG